CTAATGTTGCATCCGCTTATGCACGGCTTTGATAGCGTTTGTGGGTTATGTTCTTTCCGGCAATGTGAAAATCTTCTATTCCTAATCGTTATATATTCCCTTGTATGGTTCATTGAAGATTACATACCACATTTTTATATTATTTTCCTTGATTTGTGTTGGGTGGAGTGTAATGACATCTACATCTTTTACTTCTTGCACAGGTGACGATACTCCTGAGGATGTTGATTATATTTCGGGTGTTGATGGTGCTTTTGTAAGAGCTACTAGGAACTGAAGCATTTGTTTTAGTTCTAATTCTTCTTGGTTAACTATCTCGAGTTGCTACCTTTTGCTCTTGCTTTTATTTTACCCAAGTTGAATTTGTTTCATAACGACATCTATTCTCTTGTAAGTGTATCGGCAATATTATTTTTTCACTTTTTATGCATTTAGGTATCTTGAAGTGAGTATCTCCATAATCCTAATAGATATTTTGAATCTGCTCGGACTATGAATCTTGTTTGTAATCATTCTATTATATATTTTTATTGTGTATAAACATGTCGGTGTTTTTCTGCACACCCATCCTACATACCGATATGGATGATTTTTGGAACAACGGGGAAGATGCCAATAAATTCCTAGTTACGCTTAAAAAAACAACTAACCTTATGGAAACATTTAGTAAAATAAATCTCAATCTATTAGTAATAAAAACAAATTACAATGTTTCGATCAAATCTAAAACCATTCATAAACTAAAAGTAACACAAAAAAAGAACCTGGTCCAGGTGTAATACGCCTACACAGGGTGCTTAGCCATTCATCATTGCCGTTGATGAACGTTCTTCTTTGGAAAGTTAAGGGATTGAGGGATGAACTGAAAGTGATGAATCGATAGGGTATTTATAAGTTGATTGGAAGGATTGGGTTTTGATTTGTTGCAATGTGGGATACGATTATCGAGGAGTTAAGCTTTGTAATCCGTTAATTATTAAATAACGTTGCCTTGGGCTGCAAGCAAATGATTGTACATGCATGAGGGTTTGTGAGATGAAGCCATAAGGTGAGGAAGTTAAGAGGTTTAGTGGGTCGATGGAGTAAACAAACAGAAGGGATTTCATGGCATGTGTTAAACGAGAAGAGTAATAAGTAATCAAATTATATTTTACTCGTTATTTCACTTATAAAGAATTATATAATTTATATCAAAATATGTTATATTATACATTAATTATAAGATAAAATTAATTTCCAAAGCAGTTCCCTCTTGAAATTCCATAAAAAATTAAGAATTGCGTTCATATCTAAAAAATAAAAAGGGTATTGGTGGGACTTTCCTCTTTTGGTTATGTTTCTTAATAACGTCTAGGTACATCCATGTACCATGATCTACAATAACGTCTCTATACATGAACCAGTATCGGTATCATGTTAGCAAAGTTGTTAGGCTCTCTAAGAGATACATGGACCAGTCCGCATCGGAAACTGACGGTTGATAAAGCCTAGTCAACTCAGGATTAAAAATCGTGGTTTTGGTCTAGGCCGATTTTTTATTATAAAAACATGGTTTGATCCAAAAAGGTTTGTATTATTTTTAAACTGTTTATTATTGTTAAAATTTTTTAGAAAATGCTTATCTTTGAAATTGATGATCTTCAAACAACGACCTTTTGATGTAACGTCGTTTTAACATGTTATTTAATATTAAATATAATTTGATTGGTAAGTTTATCACAAAAGATTTTCGTATTTATAGTGACCAGACAATAAAAAAATATCTTTTTAATATGTAAGGCTAGTAACCGAACAATGAACAAATTTATTTGTTCATCAAACAATAGATTATAGTACAATCACCAAACGGAAGTATATTATAGTTTCAATATATATATATATATATATATATATATATATATATATATATATATATATATTTACTACTTATAAAAAAAATCTAATTATTTCTATAAATAGATTGAATATAATAATATTATTTTTTTAAGACGTACAAACTATTAAGCTTGAAGTACAACCCATTTATAATATAATAATATTAAAACTTTAACCATATCCTTTATCCCTTAAAAATCTTGTATCAAATTAATAGAAGAATTCATTTGCAAATTGAACCCGCCAATCTCAACACTTCAACCATTTGAAGCGGTCAATGTCAACAATTTATAGAGGATCTCTTCTCTCACATTGGTAACAAACAATCTCATAATATCTATCTTCGTAATCCCTTCAAAGTAAGAAATATACGCACACTCTCTCGAAGAACCCTAACCAGTAACCAAGACAGTATAACCACCACCACCACAGTCGCTCTGCCTCCTTTCGCCTTCAATCAACCACTATCACGACTACCGCCCTTCCTCTCACCCACGACATGAACTTTCTTTTGGAACATAACATTTTTCTTTAAAAAAAATATCGTTGAAAGAAGCTATTTGTCCCCGCCGCTGTGCGCGGGTAACGGCTAGTATATATATATATATATATATATATATATATATATATATATATATATATATATATATATATATATATATATATATATATATATATATATATATATATATAATATATATATATATATCTGAACCATTTTTTTTTTTTTTCAATTTCTAGATATTATTCTTTATCGAAAAAAATCTAAAAATATCTAAATTCATATATTAAGATTGTAAATGTAAAAAATATTTTTCAGTTTCACGTTGTGAATTTGACGTAAGAAAAAAAAAATCGAATTTGATATCATTGGAAAAAAGATAAAAAGTTATGAAATTTCTGTATTTTTAGTTTTTTTTTTAAATAAGTTTTAAAAGTTGAAAAAAAGATTGGTTCCTTGGTTAATTATGGTTCTCTCTCTCTCTCTCTCTCTCTATATATATATATATATATATATATATATATATATATATATATATATATATATATATATATATATATATATATATATTTGTTTTGTACACATTTGACAATTAATTTTTTTGTTTTTATTTGTCAATTAAATTTGTTAAGTTATTCACAAAATATCATTGCAACCTACTATTGAAGGTTTCCGACAACTTTATAATCTCCCACAAGCAGGATCGGTTTTAAGGAGTTCCCAGTGTAGCAACAACAACCCCTAACTTTTTCTGGCTGTAGTGGAAATTTTTTTGATTTTTCGATTATTTTTATCTATTTTTCATGTATCGGTAACACCTATTCATCTCGACAACACTTACTATGTATTATTGCGTCCGTCGCTGCCCACGAGTCTCCGAACAACATGAGTTTTCCTGCGATTTCAAACCCACAAATCGAGATATGACTTCTGGACCTTCAAACTCCCAACAAAATTTCAACCGAAAACGTTGAATTCCTGCCCCATTTCGTGGGTATCCCTCTGGCAGTGGCAATTTCTATGGTGGTTGTAGTGAGTGGTGATGATGACGGTATAGGGGTGGTTTGTAGGTGATATGATGAGGCAGCCGATGGTGTATGGAGTGAGTAGATGGGGATGACAGGAGGTGGTTCCGATGATGTGTTTGGTGTTCGAAGATGTTGATGTATCCAGTGTTGAAGATATTCGAAGGGGTAGTTTACAGTGCTGCATAGGTGGCATAAAAGGGTTGGAACGATACAGAAACTGCCGGAGCCGGAGAAGAAGATCAGAGTTGGTCGGAGAACTTGCCGGTAAACTCATATTGGTTGGAAGCTCGCCGGAGAAGATGACCGGAGTCTCATCAAAAATGTAAATAACACCGAAAACCGGCTAAAACCAAACCAACCAATCATAATGGCAGGATATGGAATAAATATGTACAAACGAAAAATACATTTTCAAACCATTTTCTCAAAAAATAATTATAATTTATGAAAATGTAACGATGGCTTTGTTTTTACATTGTGTTGCCCAATGAGCATCCAGGTACATCTCAATACCAATAGACACCAAAAATTGCGTCCAGATGCAAAACTTCTTAACCACCCTATCACGTGACATGGTCAATCATTGCGTTTTCAAATTCCTTCTCACGTGGTCAACATATACGATTCAAAAGCAATAACAAGAGGCTTTAAAATTGATTTGATTAGTTTAAATACTTGTTTATGTAATAATATTGGATTTTCTTTGTCATTTTATATAACAAAATATTTTTTAATACAATCTGCAGTCATATTCTACTAAATCATAGTTGGATATAATCTATTAACAGTTTCACTTACGTTGTGCCTAAAGCAAGAAAATTTCATTTAATGACATAGCATAATCTCTCTTTAATTTGTAATACATCATACTTTTATATACTACGTACGAATATAGTCACATGGAACAAATAGTGATATACTTTTATTCATGGGTTTATTACATCTTTTATTAATTTATATCACTGTACTCAATTACGTCATCTAAATACAAAACAAGTCTCATCGTTATAATTATATAAAAATTTCAAAATATAACATTCCGATAAGAAAAAAAGATAAAATATAAACTATTTCTAAATAATAGAAAAAAGTATATATATAAATATAAGGTAATAAATAATATACATAAAGAAAATAAATAAAAATACATTATTATGTTCTAGATAGTGAGTTAAATAAAATGAGACATTAAATTTTCTGAAATAAAATTCAATGTTTTGTACATATCCAATAGAGTGCAAGCTATAAATACCACATTAATACAAAGCTCAAATAGCCCAATCAACTTCCTTTCTTTATCTTTGATTCTACAATAAAGTCCAATTTTTAATTCTTTCTTCCCTACAAGCCACCAATGAGGGCAAACTGGTAAATTCCACAAAACCTACAACTAGCCTGCCACAAGGGCAAACAGGTAAATTCCTACGACTAGATCAACAACTATATATATATACTCTTAAAGTCTAACGTCGATTTGGCTGTTCTTATAAAGTTAGCGACTCAACAACACCATAACCTTCTCGCTTCTTCTATGCTCATATTTGGATCCATTCATTTCAAGATCGATTCTGAATCTAAAACCCATAATTCCAAGAATGTCCCTAAAAATCACCAAGAAACACAACAGACATCTCAACAATCCCTTCCCTTCAAAACCCAAATCTTTACCCTTCAAACATGGCACTCTTTTCTTAAATTCCCAAACTACCCTTCCACCTCACCAAATCTTCCCTATTGGAAACGATTTTGAATTAATTTGGAGATCAGAAAATGGAGGATGTGTTTCCATTTCTCATAAATCCAATCCCACACGATCCATTTGGTCTACAGTCCCTGGTAGATCATTCATCTCCACTGCCATGGCAGAAACAGAGGTGGAAGAAAGCAGAGGATCCTTCATCATTAAGGATAAAAATGTCCAATTTATATGCAACCATCAAACTATCGAAGACATCAAGGTGTTGAAAAGTCAAACCGAATTCGAATTCGAATCCGGGTTTCTCGAATTTCAATCCGAATCCCCGGTTCTGTTAATAACAGGTAGGGTTTTTGGCATGAAGAAGAACAAGAAGCCATTGTTACAAAAATGGGAATCTGTAGAAAAAGATGTTTGTAGCTATGTGAATTATTTCATTTTATTTGATCAAAAGAACAGTAATCAGATTGGGTTCCAAGTGAAAATCGGTAAACCCAACCTTGTAAATGTAAAACTTTCACCGAAAATCTACCGGGGGCATTTTCGTAAATTGACCCGACCTCGAAGAATTCGAATTCGGTTATGCGGGAGGAGAAGACACCAAGTGGTGACAGATTCGAGTAATGAAGAGGAAAATGTTGCAATGAAAGAAAAAAATGGTTTAGGAATTGGATTTTTTAATAGGATTTGTGTTACATATTCAAGTGAAAGAAATGAAAGATTTTTTGGATTTGGAGAACAGTTTTCACATATGGATTTTAAAGGAAGAAAAGTCCCGATTTTTGTTCAAGAACAAGGGATTGGGAGAGGTGATCAACCAATTACATTTGCTGCTAATCTTGTTAGCTACAGGTAATAAATGTACTTTCATTGTTTTTCTATTTTTAATTATAATTTATATACATCAAAGAAATGAAAATATTCAAAATACATTGTTATGATGTGATTATACAGAGCTGGAGGAGATTGGAGTACAACATATGCACCTTCACCATTTTACATGACATCAAAGATGAGATCTCTTTACCTTGAAGGTTATGATTATTCAGTCTTTGATCTAACACATGACGATAGTGTTCAGATACATGTGAGTGACTTTTCTCTCTAATTTTGACTTTGAGGTCAAAGTCAAACCAATTACTTTTCAAACTAACAATTTGATCAAAATTTTGCAGATACATGGCGATAGTATGGAAGGTAGGATATTATATGGAAACTCGCCTTCTGAGCTGATTGAACAATTCACCGAATCCATAGGTAGACCACCTGTTCTTCCTGATTGGATTATATCAGGAGCAATTGTGGGAATGCAAGGTGGAACAAATTCAGTAAAGAATGTTTGGGAAGAACTTGTGGCTTATGATGTTCCAATATCAGCATTTTGGTTACAGGTAGTCTTTCATTTTCATCCTCTTCATTTCCATTTGAAGACATTTTAGTAAAATCGATTTGAATTTTGGAATTTTGTAGGATTGGGTAGGGGAGAGGAAGACAGTGATTGGATCACAGCTATGGTGGAATTGGGAAGTGGATGAAACAAGGTATCAAGGATGGAAAGAACTTATTCGGGATCTCAGTGTGAGACATATTAAAGTCATGACATATTGCAATCCTTGTTTAGCTCCAGTAAGTAAATCGTTTTTTTTTTTTGGTCAAAAAACAATTCGAAAGCATTCATGTGTTTTAAAGATTTCAATTTGATGTATATTAGATGGATAGAAAGGTGGATGCAAGGAGAAACCTATTTGAAGAGGCGAAAAAGTTGGACATTTTAGTGAAAGACAAGAATGGAGAAGCATACATGGTCCCCAATACAGCTTTTGATGTAGGGATGTTGGATTTAACACATCCTCATACTGCAACTTGGTTTAAGAAGATTTTACATGAAATGGTGGATGATGGTGTTAGAGGATGGATGGCTGATTTTGGTGAAGGGCTTCCTGTTGATGCGTGTATTTACTCGGGTGAAGATCCGATTTCTGCTCATAATAGATACCCTGAGTTATGGGCTCAAATAAACCGGGAGTTTACAGAAGAATGGAAGAGTAAACTTATTGGAAAGGAGAAAGAAGACCCTTCAGAATCTTTAGTTTTCTTTATGAGATCTGGTTTTAGAAATAGTCCAAAATGGGCGATGTTGTTTTGGGAAGGGGATCAAATGGTGAGTTGGCAAGCTAATGATGGAATAAAAAGTGCTGTTGTTGGGTTGTTAAGTAGTGGGCTTTGTGGATATGCGTTTAATCATAGTGATATTGGAGGGTATTGTGGTGTAAATTTGCCCTTTTTCAAGTATCGAAGAGATGAAGAGTTGCTATTAAGATGGATGGAGTTGAATGCATTCACTACCATATTCAGAACACATGAAGTAAGTTATTTCATTTAGCTACCAATATCATTTCTTTGTGTTCTTAATTTTATTTTCTTATTTTGATTAGGGGAACAAACCATCTGTTAATAGCCAGTTCTATTCAAATCAAAAGACATTAACACATTTCGCACGCTTTGCTAAAGTCTACAAAGCATGGAAATTTTACAGAGTCCAACTCGTAAAGGTGATATAAAAAATTAGAAATCATTTTCCATACGTAGAACTAGGCAAATCAAATAGCAATTGGATAGAATGATATGAAGTGAATGTTTTGTTTATAATACAGGAAGCAAGTGAAAAAGGGCTTCCAGTTTGTCGTCACCTGTTTCTACATTACCCTAATGATGATCATGTACATAGCTTGACGTATGAGCAGTTTCTAGTTGGGGAGGAGATTCTAGTGGTGCCTACTCTTGATAAACACAGGAAAAATGTCAAAGCGTACTTTCCTGTAGGAGAAGGTTGTGTTTGGAAACATATATGGACAGGAGATTTATACGATATAGAAGGTTCAGAAGCTTTGATAGAAGCTCCGATTGGGTATCCAGCAATTTTTGTAAAAAATGGATCTGTTGTCGGAGAGAATTTTCTAAGAAATCTGAGAGAATTCAGTATTCTGTAAATAATTGTTGTATGTAATTTAGGTTGTTCAGTTTATTCATCCATTGATTTGTCATACGCATTTTGAAAACCCTAAGATATTGTATGAAGACACTAGAAGCTTTATGCGAATTGCGACGGATGTAGATTACTTAAAAAACAAAGCCCTTCAGCGAACATCTAACAAGATCAATAGAAATTCATCTAATCAAACAGGTGATAGATGCAATTAGAAATATGCAGATTGAAAGAATTCAGTATACTGAGATGCCATTAAAGCGCAAGGTCCAAATTATCTAAACTAATGCATATAATTAATCAATACTAACCAGAAAGAGTGCGAATATATTACATAATCAAATGCTGTTTATCAAAGAAAACCGACCTCCGCTTGAAGACTGGAACTGGAGACGAAGTAAATGAAGGATTTGTGAAGATGTATTTATGAAATTGATGGGTACGTTGGTTGATTAATGTAATATTCCAATGGTCAAAACAACTGATTCGCATAATGTTGCTGGATATTCTTTTGTTTTCGTCGCTAAAAAGCAAACAAAAATAAGGTTTTACGAGAAAAGTATTGTTAACTTCGAATTTTTTCTTTTTATACAAAAAAAAAAAAAAAAAAAAAAAAAAAAAAAAAAAAAAAAAAATCATAAATGGTACATGTGGTTACCCAAAATCTGAAGTTTAATCTTATGATTTAAAAACCTCATAGATAGTCCCCGTGTTTTCAAAACTTTTGATGTTTGATCCTTTTTGCTAATTTTGTTAAGTTTGTCCGTTAATGAATGACACTTTCGTCATTTCACCACCTCAAGTACCAATTATGATGTTTTCTCGTATTTTTTAAAAAAAGAAAAAATTAAATATAATTAAATATCTAAAAGGTCTCTCTCTCTCTCTCTCTCTCTCTCTCTCTCTCTCTCTCTCTCTCTCTCTCTCTCTCTCTCTCTCTTCAGCAACCAACACATATATTGGTTTGTTCTTTAATAATCAAGAACACACATATAAACATACCACCACCACTACCAAGATAATCGATAAAGTAACCTTGAAGGATCAATCCTATGTCGTCTACAATGCATTGGAAGCCTTCCACCCACCCTTTCTCCTACATTGACAAACCCCCAAACCAGTGAATTCAAAATCGTTTATGGAACAATTTTTCTTTTTTGAATATGAAATCATTTCTGGAAGAGAATTAAATACATCTCAACCCTTCTACTAACAAACATACAAAGAAACCAGAAAAATAAAACCCAACACTATTCATCATTTTGAATCCTTCCTTTCCCATTTTCTCCCTTCTTCTTGTTTTTGTTCTTATTTATACACCAAATACCCATCTGCATCAAACAATTCACACATTAAGAGGGGCTGTTTTGGGACAAGATCCAAAATAATCCTAGATTTCATGTGTGGCTTTCGTTTCTGGAATGATTTGGAACCAAAAAACAAATGAAGCTCTAATAGATACCCAGATGTGGAGTGGTTTTCGCCTAATAGATACCCAGATATGAAATTAAATCAATCAAATCCTAAAGAGAAGAAGAAAAGATTTAGGGGTTAGGAGAAAGAAGACACATAGAGATGCAAACCTAAATAGGTTATTGTTGGTTGCACATACTAGAAAACTTGGTCCAGGTGTGTCTGTAAAAAGGTCAACAAAACTGAATTTATATGAGCTGATCTAAGAAGGAGGAATTAAGGGTGTATACCTGATATGGATCAAGTTGGTGGGTGGAAGAACGACTTCTGCATTACCTAGATGAAAGGGTTGATGACTGCAAGTCAATTGAAGGGAAAGGGGTAGGAGACTCAGATTCGTCGGAAAAATAACATCAATCTGGGTTTCTTTGAGATCGATTCATGGATGAGATAATAGGGTAGTGGGTTGCTGAAGGGAATGATGTTTCATCGAAGGTGTGTTCACCGACGGTGAGGTTTAATCCTCAGGAGGTTGAGTAAACGAGGGGGGATGCCGAAGATAAGGTTGAAGCTTTTGACTATGAAATGTCCGGCGATTGTTGAGCATGGTGGGATTGGGTACGTTGGGGCGGTCGATTTTCCACGGTGGGTGTAGTCGGTGGTCCAGGAGGAGTGGCCGGTGGATGTGACATCCTCATTTTCACGGCCAGAAAAGACCGATTTTTTTATGTTTTGTTTTATAAAATCAGAGTAATACTTTGATTAAAAGAGTTGCGGAATTTGTTCCCAAAACAAAATATGATAAAATTTATCAAAATGTTTCTCAAAAGAATGTATTTTCATTAAATAATAAAACCTCGGGATGTCATGTTCCGATACAGACCAAAAGCATAAACAATATAAATTAGACCTTACAATAGTTATTTATAACTACTGATCTATAATCCAAAATCTCCTGTTAAGTCCACTAACTTATACCCTTGTGCACTTACATGTAATGCAAAGAAAACTGAGTGGGTCAGGTTTGGGAGCCTGGTGAGCATATAGGGTTTTCAACCCACAATAATATAATTATTATATTCAATTATCAAACAATTAACCTAACTACCCATCCCCATTATCTTTTTTACTCTTAAGGTTTTACCCTAAGAATCAACTATTGTAACACCCGTAGATCCGGGCTAGTCAATTTAAAGACGATTAGCGTCAAAAATGATTTTTTTGATGGAAGATTATTTAGAAGGAGTAATCTTAACTAAGTTGTAGTATATGTTACAAGGATTCCGTGCATATAAAAAACGCCGAAATCCGAGTTATAACGAAGAAGTTATGACCCGTCGAAGTTTCGCGACAGAACCAGCACGACGTTGAATGACGTAAAAAGTGAATTTACGTTAGAGTAATATTTAGCCTTAGCGATCTAAACAAAAGTCGTAGAATACGTTAAGTCAAAATCGTGCATAAAAAGAACTCCCAAATTTGACTTTGTATGAGGAAGTTATGATTTTTCCGAAGTTTCGACTTAGCAGTATGCAGCCCGAATCCTCGATTTGAGATCAAGTGATTTTTAGCCGAAAAAATCTAAATGAGAATCGAAGATCTCATCTATAGTAGTGAAACGATAAAAAGATAGGCGAAAACGGGTGTCCGATTAAGAAGTTATGAATTTATAACGAAATTTTCCTATCCCGGCCTATTAAAAATAATATAAAAGTAATATATTTATAATATATTAAAAATAAAGTCAAAATTAGACAACGGAGTCTGAATGAGAGTTGTAGAGCATATTCTCACCTACGCGTCGATATAAAGAACATCGAAAACGGAGTTTGTATGCGAAAGTTATGAATTTCTGAAGTTCGGGGCGTGAAACCCCAAAACTGTCAGCCACCACGACGTTGCAGGAGCTCTGGAGTCTATCAGACCCACTTGCAATGACGCATGCAGTGAAGACCCAGCCACCACGACATGGTAAACCGTACCACGATGTGGCAAGGGCAAATTTTGCCCTATAAATAGATTTGAAGGGCCAGTCGAGTTTGGGGTTACTCCAACTCCTCTCTTTCACTCCCGATACCTTCCATAGTCATCCTGAAGTACCCCCGAAGCCCCGATTTCATCCCGAGACCCGAATCAATTCCCGAAGCCCGAAGATCCCGAGAAGTGAGATTCCCAAGCCAAAACTCTGCCCGCGAGAAGCCCGGTTTTTGTGAAGATCTTCCAGATCTACCGAATATTACTACTTCTACAAGCCGTAGTGTTGTCCAATCATCTTCTGATCAAGTGAGTGTGTGGTCACTTTTTTCTAACACATAAATATTAAGTATTTGCTATGAAATACGTGCTATATGTATAATATAAAGTTGTTTATATGTGTGAGTGTATAGTCCCTTTCATAACACGCTTTTAATACAAGTATTGTTTGAATGTATTAAGTATATTTTTTGTGTGAGTGTGTGGTCATTTTCTTCTAACAAATAAATATGAAGTATTCGTTATGAAATACGTGCTATGTGTTTATATATTGTTGTTTATTTGAGATGAGTGTGGAATGGATGTTTTATATAGTTTTTAAATGAGTTAAATTGTATATGTATTTTATATCTACAAATATGTTGGGTAGAACATGGGTAGATGAGATAGTTGGTGTGTGATAAAAGGATGAGTTGGATAATGAGATAATAAGTGATATAGATCTTGAGATGAGGGTGAAAAGTGGAAAATGAGTGAAACCTTTACCCAAACGATGACCCCCGTCATTCAGCGGAGTAGGGATGACAACCACAGACCATTCTAGACAGTCAGTGGAACACTAGCAGGCTCGCAACTTGTAGGTGTTTGTGAACGATGTGTTCACCAGTGTACTCTAAAAACCCATTGACATGTATTGCGAGAGGGATCTCGAGAATGATACTATCAATAAATAAGATAAACTTGTTATTAGATCCGGGAGTATGGATCATATCAGGATTTAGGTATAGTAAATTGTCCCTAGTCCGAGAGTATGGATTGGACACAATTTTAGATCCGGGAGTATAAATCAGACCAAGAGGTTAGTTTTAGATCCTGGAATATGGATAAGGTGAAGAGATTAGTTTTAGATCTGTGAGTATGGATCAGGTAAAAAGGAAAATTTTAGATACAAGAGTTAGATCGTGTTATTGTAGGGATCGATGGGGTAGGATAAGAGTTGTTTTTATATGGTGAAATTATATAAGTTTGTGAGTTCTATATGTATATATATATATATGTGTGTGTGTGTGTGTGTGATATAACATTGTGGATTGAAAACCCTATATGCTCACCAGACTCCCAAGCCTGGCCCACTCAGTTTTCTTTGTATCACATGTGTCAATACGAAGACATATTTCACTGAGAGATTAAAGGAGATGTAAATCACTAATTTAAATAAATGTATGTTCTGTTTATGCTTATGTGTCTGTATCAGAACATGACATCCCGAAATTTTGTTATATAATGAAAATACATTTCTTTAAGAAATGTTTTGATAAATTCTTATCATATTTTGTTTTGGGAATAAATTCCGCAACCGTTTTCTTTGAAAGATTACTCTGATTTTTAAATAAAAAGCATAAACAAATCGGTCTTTTCTGGCTGTGAAATTTGGGATGTCACAACTATCCTTCATTCACTCATTCCTGAGGATTGACCTAAGGAATTGGCACGAAGTCCATTGCTGCCAAATTTTATTTATCAGGTACTAAATCCATAGCTATCAGACGCTAACTCCATAGTCACCAAGGTTCACTTAACAAGTGCTAACTCCATAGTCGCCAAGGTT